CAAAAACAAATCACATCCTTCCCATTAATTGGTAAGTGTTTAAAATATTAATTTTTTTCACTAGGTTTGTTTTCGTTTTCAAAAATAAGGCCTGGATTTGTACTTCAGAAAAAAAAAAGTTTGAACAAAACAAAATGAAAAGCTAGAAAACCACTGTTTTGTTCGTTCAATCCTGGTTTAAGTCTGTTGATCAACAGCCTTCCTTTAGAGTTAAATACAGTTCTTGTTCACTGTTTCCAAGGTGGTTTAAGTCTGTTGATCAACAGCCTTCCTTTAGAGTTAAATACAGTTCTTGTTCACTGTTTCCAAGGTGGTTTAAGTCTGTTGATCAACAGCCTTCCTTTAGAGTTAAATACAGTTCTTGTTCACTGTTTCCAAGGTGGTTTAAGTCTGTTGATCAACAGCCTTCCTTTAGAGTTAAATACAGTTCTTGTTCACTGTTTGCAAGGGTTTAAAATTTGTCCTCTTCATATAGGTTCGTTAAACTCATTAAGCGCATGCTTCTTAATGTTGGAAAATGACGTAGAATTTAAATTTGCATGTCCTTGTATACGAACTAATAACCATCTAGTGGTGAACCCAATATAACCTTTAGGTCATTTATAGTCATATTCCACATTAGAAGTTTTGAATGTAGGTATTTGATCCTTATACCTGAAGAAGAAATGCTATGGTCTGCATACAGGTTTAAAGACATATCTCAACTTCATTTTACAGTATGCACGATGACTTAGCTAGCGTAACTGGTTGCTGCTAATTAAAATAGCTTGTTTACATATATATATATATATTATTTGTTTGTTTGAAGTTAAGCACAAAGCTACACAATGGGCTATCTGTGCTCTGCCCACCACGGATGTATATATATATTGTTTAGCTACATTCCAATTCATCTGTCTAGAATAACTCACATAGTTTACAATGCCTATTAGAAAAACATTTTTTAATATAAAATTCTTAATATTTTCCATATCTTTATTAATAATTTCATTCTTGCTGAATAACGTGTATGCCCGAGGAATCGATGTTTTAACCATAATTGTTTTTCTTAACAATAAAAATAAAATTCCAATGAAACCCGGACACGAAATAATGATTATTGTGTTGAAGTATTACAGAAACGTAGTAAGAAAAGTATATTATTTAATCAATTATATTGACGGCCACGTTTAATTTTTGTTTATAATTAAGCACAAAGCTACAAATGCTCTGCCCACCACGAGTATCGAAACCCGGATTCTAGCGTTGTAAGTCCGCAGACATACTGCTGTGCCACTGGAGGGCTGTTAATTTTTAGTTTCGCTTTAAATACATAGCTTTCTCCGATCGAAATATTTTATTATTTACTATAGATGTATATCTCGCATATCAAAGTGCTTATACTGGGGTTAACCATGTTAGAGACGTATTATGGTACTCAATGACATACAATTATGTATTATTTGGACGTACCTTGATTTCCAGCTAGGCCTAATTGACGTACTGGTTTGTGATTAGCAGCAGTTTCCCCTGGCGGACGTGGTGATGGTATAATATTTGGGACTTTTGTCGATAAAGACGTTGAAGGTTGTTTTGTTGATGACTGTGTTGAGACTGTTGTTGGCCTTTCCGATATTGTTGTTTTTTCGGACGTTGTAATGGTTGTTGGCTTTTCTGTTGCTATAGTAGTTGTCGGTTGTTTTATTATTGTGGTTGTCGTTGAAGGCGTTGTTGTTGTGGTTAATATTTCAGTATCTCCTGGACCTGTAACTGGTTTTTGTGTTGTGGGAGTTACGATTGTTTTTTGTGTTGTGGAAGGTGTGGCTGGTTTTTTTGTTGTGGTAGTTAGGGCTGTTGTTGTCGATGAGGCAGGAATGGTACCAAACAGTATGCTTAAAATGTGAGGACGCTGAGTCGAGGTAACAAGTAGATTATTCTGTTCAGATACGAAGAGAATAAATAGAAAATATATTGGTTTAAAATATAACAGTACGATAAACAGTACACAAAAAAGAATAGACATTGCAAGCAAAAGTATCAAATTTCATAAAATCCCCAACAAAATGTAGCATTACCTTAACTAGTGAAACCAATGCACGAAACCAAAACCAAATTGCTTGTTTGTTTGTTTTGAATTTCGCGCAAAGCTACACGAGGGCTATCTGCGCTAGCCGTCCCTAATTTAGCAGTGTAAGACTAGAGGGAAGGCAGCTAGTCATCA